AGAACTGTTTGGGAGAATATATATATATATATATATATCTTTACATCTGTACACGTGGATCGATGATCGTGTGGATATCAGAAGCACATTCTCAATGTACACATAGACGCCCGTACCGAATGCCTGCCCCCAGGTACGCGAACTCGCTCCTGGATAGCCTCCTGTGCAGAGTTGGTGGAGAGCCCACTGGCGGCGCCAGCGGGAAAACATGCATGGTCAGCTTTCGAGCTTCTCCTTGTTGTTGTACTTCTTCTCGTTCTTGTCATCGTCCTTCTCCTCCACATCTGCGGCTATTGTTGCTCAACTGTGAAGTGTCTGATTGGATTTCATTTTTTCCGGATAAAACTGGTGTTTTGAGGCTAGGCTGTAGATGTGAGGGAGAGAGAGTTTTGTTGTTTCATGTTGGAAGTTTGCGCTGTGTGCAATGGTGTTGCATAGCTGCAGATGATGTGCAGTGATCTTTAGCGATCTTATGCGTGAGCTCGGACGGGTTTCCGTTCCCGATGATCAGCCTTCACCAGCTGACTCTGCGCAGTATTTGGGGAATGCTTGCGCACCATATTGAATGTTCTCGGCTAGTTCGCGACATTAGTTTAAGTATCATCACCTTCCATAGCTTGAGGCTTGGTAGCCAGACTGCAATGCTGGCGTCAACGACATTGTGTTTTGCAAAGGGGTATTTGCCACCTCTCTGGCTATGACGGTTAAGATGCTTGAGCCCCCTGCCGATTTCGATTACAATCGGTGGCCTTACCGACATTTCGGTGGCCCTAGGTCAGGTCAGCATGCGCTGGTGTGCCGCAGTATCTTCAGACTCGCTATGTTGTTTGGCATCTTTGTGGTTCGACAGTTTCTTATTGTTGCTCGTGCTGTGAAGCGGATTCCACAATGGGGTGGAATGTGTGTGTATATATAGTCGTTGAGTCTGCAAGTGTTCACGTATGTGAGCGTTCTCATCGTCCTTCTTCCCCAAACGTTCACTGAGTATTGAACGATGGTCCGCTTCTCCACCAGGTTGCAGCAGCTGTAGTTAACCATGGGCCCGAGGTTCAATACTCTGACTTGTTATTAGCATGCTGACAGGTTTTATTCCCAGTGTACCCGATGATAATCGATCCCTGCTTCGCCTGCTGGGGCTGTTGTAGTCAGATTCCAGTCGCCCTGTCAGTCTGGTGTTGGTCATACTCGACGATCTGTAGGACGCACGTGGTTCTGACCCGAATTGTTTTGAACTGCTCAGTTGATGAATGCCATGCTGTGCCTGCTAAGGCTGATTCACGTGTTATTGGCAAGCGTTGTTGCGATGCATGTGTGTCACCATCGTGAGATCAGTCCGTGGAGTGAATTTCAAGCTGTTTGCCCCAAGCTAGCATACGGTGACAGATGCCTGGCGGTCTGGTTACTGACGCGGATGCAAATATTCATCACCCTGGTTACGACCCTGCAGTGCTCATGGACGAAGGATACTTTGGCTCAGAGTCTTTGTTTATATTACGTATGTGTTGACACTGCACAACGCCAGTGTTTTTTCGTCGGATGCCCGTCGCAGCGGTTCTTACAGCTTCAATCTCGCAACACGTTGAATTCTTTCTGCTCGGAGTTATTTATTCACGCACTGCGCACTTTGGCGTCCGTGCCAGGGGTGCCCGTTGTCACCGTATTTGGTCATTATTGTTCCCAGTGTAGTTCTGTTCGGCGTTTTCATCAGTTCCGACCTTCAAGAAGAGCCTGTCATTAGAGAAACACACGATATCCTGTACGCCGTCGACACGCTGCTTCTATCGAAGGTTGCGCACGATCTGCAAGTTTCATCGGCGGAGGTAGTTACTGAAGGAACAAGGTGTGGGTGAGCGTTAAACCAGGGCAGGCACTTCAAATTCATATCTCATTGGGTATGTTTATATTCCACAAACGCATTTTCGTATGCACTGGGCGTCTTCCTTTGTTGTGCCGTTGTGTGAGGCCTCATTACGTAAGTGGTGGGTGGGGCCACATGGGGATTGGGGATTGATGCACGCACAGCGCCATTGGCCCTTCTTGGTTCCTCCTCCTCTCCTCCTTCCTTCCCCTTGGATCTGATACTTTTTCAAGGTTGATTCGTATCGCCCCACTCCGTGCTCCAGGTCTCCGCGCAAACCTCTCTGACGACTGTTGAGTGGACAGGCACCGTTTCCTGACCTGCGCTGCCGTAGGTCCCATATCATCATCGGAAACAAATACTTCACCTGGTATCATTATAGTTTGGGCGACTAGCGAACCGATCAACCCAGTACGCGAAGTCATCTATCTTGGAGGCCCGATTTCGTGTGACGGGAAATCGACATCAGAGCTAACGAGGCGATGGTGGACCGGACACGGGCGCATGCTGCAATGGGAAAAAGTATGCAATGTATCCGAGCTGCATCCTGTTTGGTCGATATGGCTCAGGGAAAGCAAATCAAGGTAGGGCAGCTCCCATTGCAAATGCTTGCGGCGCCTATTTGGTATTCCTCATTATTTTTGTTTTTCTGGGTCCACAACTGACGTTTTGAAGCCAGTGTCGTCGACACTATTATCTGAGATCCTGAACGAATATCAAGTTGGACTGTACACTAGAATCGCGAGCTCCCGAGATCCTGTTTTTAGCCACCGGCATTTCATGCGATGTGGACGGCTTTCCCCAAAACTTGGCTCACCGCGAGAAACGAGGGCGGCCGTGGCAGTAGCACATGATCGTTATGTACAACATGTTGCATGTAAGGTCCATTCCCCCTATTCATTTTTTCGGCATTCGTCTCCGAGCGCGCGCTCTCGATTTTTCGAAGAGTTATTAATCGCACGCTCTTCTACACACGCATCCTTCGGGATGCTTCGCTCATTCGTGCGTGTATACCATTGCAAGGGAGCTTCCGCACAGTGTAAGTAAGCTATGTGTTTGCTACGTGGCTTTTGTGAACTTTTGTGTTTGTTCCCTGAGTGAGGCTGCGCAGCGAATTTCGCAGGCTTTGTTTCGTTTGCATGCGAAGCTGCGAGGTGCATGTTTCTCTGCGTTAGTAGTCACTAGTACCACCACAGCGCAGGGTATTCCTCGTCGTTATGTTGATCAAGTCTATTCGCTACGGCCTGCAACCTCCGGTAGCGTATGCATTGAAATCGCGTAGTGCAGCAGGACAGAACATAAGGGATCGATTACGTTGCCTGAGTAACCAGAAATCATCGTGCATGCTCGCAACACAAGACATGTGGAACATGGGTATCATGATCGACGCGGGGCTCAAGTACGACGACGTCTCAAAAAACCGCAAGGAGCGCCAGCAGGCCGGCGAAAACGTCGATTTCAGGGCAAGAGGACCGCCACACGTGCAGGTCTGGGGGGCGCTCGCCATGAGTTTGGTGAACCAGATGGACACCTTCCTGGACGGCAGCGAGACCTACAAAGAGAGCGAGAAGAAGGTCTTCTACGAATACTTCCAGAAGCACCTGGCCCAGAAGCTGCCGACGGATGTTGCCAAGCACGTGCTGCATTTCCGTTACAAGAAGTTCAAGCCGAAGAAGAGCCAGGACGGGGCCACGGTCGCGGCGGAGGAGAAGAAGGGCAGGCTCACGTTTGCCTTCTCATACGACGAGCCAGGGAGGGAGGCGCGTTCGCTGTTGATTCAGTTTCTGAACTCGGAGAAGGCCAAGGCGACGCAGCTGGTGGGACCTGCCCCGAGGGGCCCCCTCGAGCGCGAGGCGGCGAGGCTCCTGGCGATCTTCGAGAAGGGCGGTGGCAAGGACAAGGATCAGGATCAGGAGAGCTGAGGACAAAAAAGAGAAAAAGGAACGACAGGAGTCGTTCGCGTGAGCGTGAGTGCGAGGGCCCCCGTGAGAGACGCTTCCTGAGTAGAGGGGCCTTTGCAGGTAGTGAACGATTAGCAGCTTTAGTGGCCCGAGGGGCCATCCCAGACCCCTTTGGCCACTAGTTTCGACACATTTTCGAATCCCGATCTTCCCCCGATCCCCTTAGTAGTGGCGGCTAAACGGGCTCCACGCAGAGGAGGAAAGGGTAAGCAAGATTCTCACGGTAGACCCAGTGCGTCGGTCCCCTAGACGGTCCCCTCCGTGCGCCTGCGCGGCGCCTGGGGTTCGCCGTCGTTCAGGGGCTGTGCTGGCCCTGCCAGAGGGGGTTCCCCCTGTCTCTTTTCAAGGTTAACCCGCTCCCCCAAGAAGTCGGGTTGCGCTGGGGTCACGGCCAGTTTTATGGTATGAGATCGAGTAACTCATTTGGACTCCCCGCGCATTGCTCATTGCTCATTGCTCCTCCTCCTCCTCCTCCCCCTCCTCCTCCTTCTCATCCTCTTCCCCCTCCTCCTCCTCCTCCTCCTCCTCCTCCTCCTCATCCTCTTCCCCCTTCTCCTCCTCGTCCACTCGTGCTCTTTTCTACTCGGGCAGTGTGTTCAACGCGCGCCTTGCGTCCAGAATCCCCCTACTGTCGCCGCCTCGGCTCGCCGTCCTCCTCCTCCTCCTCCTCCTCCTTCTCCTCCTCCTCCTCCTCGCATGCCTCCTCCTCCTCCTCCTCCTCCTCCTCCTCCTCCGCCTTCCCCTTCTCTTCCTCATCCTTTCCATCGAGGTTCGAGGTCCGAGGATAAAAACTTTTTGTCAGCCTTCAGTTTAAAGCCCCCACATGCCACTGCAGATCTCTGGGGAACCTCCTCCTCGTTTCCCTCCTCTTCCTCAGCCGCTTCCCCTCCTTGCCGTTGGCATCCGCCCACAGTCGGGGAGACCATCGCGCCCGCTGCGCACTGCTCTTGCGCTACGTGCGTAGTTTTCTGCTCCCTGCCAGCCCCCTCCCCCTATCCCTTTCTCGGTCCCCTTTGCCCCCCTGCCCCCCCTCCCTCATCGCTACCCCGCGTCTTCCCTTTTTCGCTCCCCAACTTCATCCTCTTCCCTTTCGTGCTCCTCTTTTTCTCCACTCCCCTCCCCTCCCCCTCTCCCCCGCCCCCCCGCTCGCCTCCTCCTGCGCTTCTGCTCCGCCCGCGCAG